GAGAAGGGGAGATGAGGAGAACACAGGGAGGGTTGGGGAGTGAGAAGAACACAGGGAGGGTGGAGGGAGTGAGTAGAACACATGGGGGAGGTGAGGAGAACACATGGGGGGGAGTGAGAAGAACACAGGGAGGGAGGGGGCTGAAAAGAATACCGTAGGTTTGGGGGAGGGGGGATGAGAAGAGCACAGGGAGGGTGGGTGTGAGAAGTGACTGCTAGGGAATGGGGGGGGAGAGACCACTAAGGGGCAGGGGAGAGCTCTATAGGACAGGGAGCTCTTACACACACAGAAACACAACATGCTTCCCTTACACACAGAGAAACACACAATGCATCCATTACACACAAAGACAATGCATCCTTTGCATACATACACAGAAACAAACAATGCAAACCCTTACACACACATGCAAACACACACATTGCTTCTCTTACATATACACAGAAACACAATGCATTTCATACACACACTCAATGCACACACTTACAGACACACACCTTGCATCCCTTATGCATACAAACACAGATTCACACAATACATCGCTTATACACAAACACACACTGCCTCCACTACAAATACACTGCATCACCTACACAAACTGGTATCCCTATATTAGATCCTTTACAATAACACATAACATCCCCTACACACTCCACTCCCTGTGAGCTAACTCATGGGTGGAACATGTAGGTGGACTTTTAGGTGGGCCTTATGGGCATACTCACCGTCAGGCCCTGGGACCCAGACCTTGAGCTGTTTAAGGGGCCCCAAAAAAATGGAGCTGCTTCCCATTCTACTAGAACTTTGAATTTTGTGACCACAGTTACAAACAGCCTTCAGAGATCCTCGTCTACACCAGACCAGGGGAGCCAAACCGCAGCCCATCGTCATCCTCATCTGGTTATAAGTAGGCAATCTAGTATATTATTAGTGACACTAATCTATAATTTACCTCACATTAAAGGGACACTATAGCTTAATGAAGTGGTTCTGGTGTTTATAGCCAGTCCCTGCAGGCTTTTTAATGTAAACACACACTGTGTGCAGCTTTGGCATTAGTTCATATGGCAGATCATATAGGTGGGGCATTGTGATGTCACATGGGGGGGCGGCAAATTTTTAATTTGCCTAGGGCAGCAAAAATCCTTGCACCGGCTCTGATGCTGGGCAGATGCACCAGTCTACTGGTGACCCACAGGAGGAGAGTGCACTGATTGCACTGCATTCTCCTCCTGCCCAGACCTGTCTTTACCGCAGTGCAAGTGCCCTCTGCCCCTAATTTACAGTGGCTCACACTCACAGCAAACAGTGCCTGGAGCCCTTTGCAGCGACGTGAACAAAGAGGTTCTGCGGCAGCTGGCCGTCCTGCAAGCATTACATTAAACAGCTGTTCCCCATGCAGCAACAGGTGGCGCTGTGCTGGGAGAATGTGATTACTCTTCACTTCCTCCCAGCCTACAGAGCAGCGCATGGGAGAGCGCATGGGAGAGAGAGAGGAGGAGGCATGATTTAATCTTACAACAAATCCAGGAAGCAAATCTTTATAAATTTGGGGGGATCAGCTCTGTTTCCACAGTTTATTGGTGTTTACTCTGATGTCTGTATTAATATTGAGGGATTTCTAAGTAGTAACATCAGTGTGTGTCAGCAGGGCCAGCCGTTGGGGTGTGCATGCTGTGCGGTCACGCAGGGTGCCATGACAACAGAGGCGCCCGGCGGCCAATACAGCTCACAAGTTGGGGACACCAGCATATTGAATTTAAACGATTCGCTGGTGGTCCACTGGTGTGCACCAGCAGTAGGTGCAGTCAGATTATATCCTCTCCCTCGTGGTTCCGGCGCTCAGTTAGTGAGTCAGAGCACAGGCTCAGAGATTCTCAGCCTTCACTCTGACAACATTGAAAGTCAGAGCCATGAAGGAGCAGGTCGGGTAAAGAGCTACTGATTAGCATAACATCAATATCCGTTATAAAACCAGGAAAAGGTGGACATGGATGGTGAACTGATTTGGTGGTGCAATGGGCCACTTGACTGGTTTTGCCCCCCAGGCCTAAGGCTGCCAGCCCTCCCCTGATGTTTAGTCTGGTTACTGGTTGAATGAATGCCTGTATGAGTTAATGGTTCCAGAGTTGCTCAGAGACGGAATTAGCAGAGGTAACCAGTCGGGTTACCCGTGGTCTGCTACAATGCCTTTAAAGATTTAATGCTCTATTCACTGCCATTTAGAAGTTAAATCACTTTGTTTCTGCATATGCAGCCCTAGCCAGGGCCGGATGGAGCTATAGCTTTTTTACTTTTACTTTTTTTTTTTTTTACACACTATTCTTAGGGTTGCAGTAATACCGATAATACAAATGCCGGTATTTTTCTCAGTATAAACAGAGATTACTCTGAAAAACCAGCACCGGCCAGTAGGGGTCACTGTGTGTGTGGAGAGAGGCAGGGATAGGAAGTTACAGCATATTACTGCATCTCTTTACTCACTGATCTGCGGGGGAGTAGCTACACAGCACAGAGAGTCCAGACAGCAGTTCCCAGCCTGCAGAGACAGACTACAGCTCAGGGAAGAAAGTAATGGGGTAAGGCTGCAGGAAGAAATGGGGACACTGAGATACTAGGGGACACTGAGACATGGGGACACAGGGAGCCCTCTGGGGATGCTGAGACACTTGGGAACACAGATACACATGGGGACACAGCTGAGATGGGGGGACAGGAGCTGAGAGGGGGGACAAGAGCTGAGAGGGGTTGACAGGAGCTGAGGGGGGGACAAGAGCTGAGATGGTACAGGAGCTTAGAGGGGTGGACAGGAGCTGAGAGGGGAACAGGCTGAGGGGGACGGGAGCTGAGGGGGGGTACAGGAGGTGAGAGCGGGACAGGAACTGAGAGGGGCAGCAGGGGCTGAGGAAGGGGAAGGGGGACAGGGATGAGCAAAGGGACAGGGGCTGAGCAAAAGGACAGGGGCTGAGGAAGGGGGACAGGGGCTGAAGAAAAGGGAAGGGGAAGGGGGACAGGGCTGAGCAAGGGGACAAGGGCTGAGCAAGAGGACAGGGGCTGAGAAAGGGGAACATGGCCTGAGGAAGGGGAACAATGGCTGAGAAAGGGGACAGGATGAGGAAAGGGACAGGGCTGAGGAAGGAGGACAGGGGCTGAGGAATGGGATAGGGGCTGAGGAAGGGGATAAAGAAAACCAAACTAAACTAAAGTGTATTGCCCCCCTCCCTGAGTCTTACATTAGGCCAGGTGGGGTGGGCAGGAGGCAAGAGCCGGAGCCAGCAGCCAGGAGGAGCAGCAGCCAGCCGTCAGTGGAGTCGGCCGGCCTGTTCCCATGATGTCAGGAGGAAGGGGTGGGATTTCCTCTGCTCTTGTCCCAGATTCCCCAGCGGTCCTG